TGTAGTGTTCCATGATTCATTGTTTGCGTATAACACCCAGTGCTCCATGCAATATGTGCCCTCCTTAATACCCATCACCGGGCTAACCCATCCCCACCCCCATCCCCTCTAAAACCCTCAGTTTGTTTCTCAGAGTCCATAGCCTCTCATGGTTAGTCTCCCCCTCCGATTTCCCCCCCTTCATTTTTCCCTTCTTGCTATCTTTTTTTTAAACATAAAATGTGTTATTTGTTTCACAGGTACAGGTCTGTGATTGAACAGTCTTACACAACTCACAGCGCTCACCATAGCACATACCCTCCCCAATGTCTATCACCCAGCCACCCCATCCCTCCCACCCCCCTCCCCTCCAGCAACCCTCAGTTTGTTTCCTGAGATTAAGAATTCCTCGTATCAGTGAGATCATGATACATGTCTTTCTCTGATTGACTTATTTCGCTTAGCATAATACCCTCTAGTTCCATCCATGTCATTGCAAATGGCAAGATTTCGTTTTTTTTGATGGCTGCATAATAGTCCATTGTATATATATACCACATCTTCTTTATCCATTCATCTGTACCTGGTTTCTACTCATTTCCTCTGGGCTCTGGGGTGGCAGTGGGTGTTTCAGGAAACTATGCCTGGCACTGGGTGTAATCTTGAAGTTTTTCTTTTCAAAGATTTTATTTATTTATTTGACAGAGAGAGACACAGTGAGAGAAAGAACACAAGCAGGGAGAGTGGGAGAGGGAGAAGCAGGCTTCCCGCAGAGCAAGGAGCCCGATGTGGGGCTCGATCCCAGGACCCTGGGACCATGACCTGAGCTGAAGGCAGACGCTTAACGACTGAGCCACCCAGGCGCCCCGAAGTTTTTCCTTTAATGTCTAAGTTGGGGTCCCCTGTGCTCCATGCAGAGTTTTGGAAAAGTCTCCCTCTATGGAGGGTAGACATGTGGAAGATTAAGGGATATATAACCACGGAAGTACTGAATCTGGCCCCAAAGTCCGGATTACAAGCTGCACTGCCATCGGTCCAGAGGACGACCCCAAGAAAGGCCCTCCAAAGGTTCCCTGCTTTTCCTGGTACTGATTTAGGGTCCTCCTGGGAGATGACCTACTGGGAGACAGACAGACAGACAGACTGGTGGACAAATCTGACTCTCCAGTGGATGGACATGTGATGAGTGAGTGACTGATGGATGGACAGACGCAGGTCAGACTGTGAGATGTCAACACAGGAGATGGATCTGTCAGCCAGACGGTCAGGCATGTGACTTTGAGACGGACAGAGACTGACCGCAGGGCCTGAAGGCCTGGGAGCCTGCCACCTGCCGACTCGGCCGCGAGGGGGCGCCGCCGCTCCGCCCGGCGTGGCCCACCGCCGCCAGGGCGCGCGCTCGCGGGCCGGCGGCGGGGCGGGGCTAGCGTGCGCACGGGGCGGGGCCAGCTTGCTCCCGGGGGCGACCGCGGGCGGGGGCGGGGCGCGCGCGGCGGCGGCGCGTTCCGTTCCGGGCCGAGGCTCGCGGCGGAAAAGTTGTGGGGCAGAAAGGAGCGGCCCCGGGACGGGCAGAGAGCGGGACGCCAAGCCGGCTCCCGGCGCCCGCGGTCCCGCCATGGACGACCTCGGTGAGTAAGCGGGAGGCCGAGGGAGGAGGCTGCGGGGGGCGCGCGGCCCCGGGCCGGGCGGGCACGAGCGAGCGGCGGGGGCCGTGGTATCCCGCCCCCGGCGGCCCGGGTCCCGGCTCAGCTCGCTGCATACTGGGGTTCCGCGGGGCCGGGATCCCCGGCTGGGCCTGAGTCCCGGGCCAGGCCGGCCTCGCCGCCGTCCTCACAGCCGCCAGCCCCCGCCTCGGGGATGGCCCCACCTCCAGACCCTGGACCTCGGGGACCCACCCCCATCTTCTAGACCAGCCGTAGGGGCCAGCTTGCACCTCAGGGACCCGCCCCGTCCGCCCCAGGGACGGACCCCCTACTGCCTGCACCACATCGCCTCCCCGGCTGTGGGACCCTCCCTTCACAGCCGGCTCCCCCACCCCCCCACCTCACTGATCGGCCGCCCAACTCGGGGAACAACAGCTGCCGAAACTCTCGGTTGGTCCCTCATTTCCAGGACCTGCTCCCACCCCTTTAAGGACCTCTGCTTCAGGGATAGCCCCTCCAAGGCCACCCCTTTCATTTCACAAGTTAAAGATGAGCCTCCAATGACCACACCCCCACAAAGACAAGTTTCTCTCTGTCTTATCCCCCCCCCCCCCCCCCCCCCCCCCCCCGCCCAACCCAGGTCTGGGCACCCTGTTTCATGGGCTGGTCACTCCATTTCCCGACTGCCCTGTCCACTCTGTGGACCAGCCCCTCCCCTTTCCTATCACAGATGAGCCTAATCCTAGAAGAGTAAGCTGGGGAGACATGATTCTTCACCGGCTCCCAGAGTCTGGTGCAGTGCCAGGGGAATGAGGTGGGAAGTGGGCCCCAAGGTATGGCCATCTCTGGACTTGTCCGGGCTGGCAGAGTTCCTCCCACCCCCCAGCATCCAGCCTTGCTGGAGGCCACACAGGTAAGGAGGACAGGATGCCCATAACAGAGTTTTACTGTTTTCATGTTATCAGAGCTCCCAAACTACTCTTTTCAGTCCAGTCTTGATCTGGTGTTAGGACAGGGAAAAGTATCTCCTGAAACCTGACACTAAACCCAAGGGGGTTCATGCCAGGGTTCTAGGAATGCCTTCAGTGACCTGAACCCTGGAGTGAGAGGATTCACTCTTTGCTCCTCTCTCCCTCCCCTTCATGCCTGTAGCCAGAGGGCCTCTGAGCTGGGGAGGTACTGGGAGGGGGGGAGTTCTTCTCTGTAGGAGCCTTGTCTTCCCTCTCTGGACTGTGGGTGGCTTGTGTGACCACTGATGCTTTCTCTGTCCCAGGCTCTGAGGAGTAGATTCATCAGACAGCTCTGACTGGCCGCCCCCAAGCGCACAGGGCACTAAGTTAAGACTGGCTATTTGTAGGTGCTGGACTTCCAAGGGGGCAGGGAGGAGGACCGCCAGCTTCCTTTTGCAAAAGATCAGGGCGCCGCTGAGAGATCCTGGTGCTGGGGATGGTGTGCAGTCCTGCCTGTTTTGCAGAGTGTGGTGGCTGCCAAGCATAGTTCTGCCTTTGGGTCAGGCTTGGCACCCATTTTTCTAACACACTCAAGGTTGGCATGGCTTGCAGGCAGGTATTTTTTTCACATAAAAAATAAGCTGAGAGGAGACTGGGGGATGTTTTTTGAACCAGGATCTGAAAGTCTTGACGCTTTCCCAGCAGGAACTGGGGAGCAGAGTTACGGTTTCTAAAATGCTGATGTGTTTCTCTTGCTTTTCTGTAGTCCCTTACACACGGTACTGTTTGAAGGTCTGAGAGAGTTTTGTAGAGTTTGCTGTTGGAGTCCAGAATTCCTGTTCTCTGACAGTCTTCCATTTAGGGCCAGGAAACTGAGTGAGTCTCGGGAAAAGAGTATACTGGCAGAGGGGACTGTAGGAATTGAAATTTGCTGTTTATGGAGTGCTTCCCCATACCTCAACTTGTCCCGTCCTCCCTCACAGCAACCCTTTATAAGAGCCCCTTACTTAGGGCCACTGCTCTCATTACTACCTGCCTTTTAGAAATGGAGAAAACGGACTCAGAGAGGTTGAATCACTTGCCCAAGGCTGTACCGCCACGGAATGACCAAACCATGACTAGAAGCCCAGTCCTTGGCTCCTAGATCTGCAGCTCTCGTGTACCAAGAGGTCTTTCTTCCTGAGGAGGGGGTGAGCAGCACGTGAAGGAGGGGTCGCAGGGGAGTCGTGGCTGCCGCCTGTAACTTCTGCCGCCTTCCAGCAGACTCCCTCCCCAGTTGTTCTGGGCTGCCTGACTTCCTTGGCCCAAGCTCCCAGGAGGCCAGCCACGCCTGGCTGCCCTGGAGCCCCCGGGTGGGAGCAGTGGGGCGAGCTGGAAGGGGAGAGGAATTTGCCTCTTTGCTCAGCCCCCATCAGCTGCCTGGATGGCTGCACCTCAGCTGTTTTCCTTAGTTAGGGTGGACACAAAGGCCAGGCCTCTTGTTTTTACTTTTCTCCTGAGAGTGCTCTCAGCTGTGAGCCTCCTGGTCCCTGAAACGGGAGTTAATGGTCTGTCCTGTGGCAAGGCTAGAGGCGGCAGAGTCTCTGCTGTGACTTGGTTTTTTTTGGGGAGGTCTTAAAAATTGGGGGACTCTTCCCTCCCCAAAGCGACTAGTGACAGCCTCACCATGTGCTGTTTAATAAGTTGCAAATTTATAGCTCTTTGGGCAGAAAAACAAACACTGCCCTTCCCTGTGTGTTCTCCTCTCTGTGCTGCAGGGGTGGCTGCTGGCAGCTTTTCCCCGTTACTGTTTAGATGCTGGTTTGGCCTGGAGTTCGCTCTGTTGAGTTCTGGCTGGAGTTTCCTGGACAGAGTTCCCACAACACTGAGATGCACTCTGATTACGGTTTCAGACCCAACTCCTCGCTCTCCCCTCGTTCATGTTCCTAGTGCTCTCTAGTGCTCTTGGGGGAACTGTGACCACAGCTGCGGTCCAATAAAGGTCACGTGTGCTTGATGGGAGACAGGCATCGGACTCAGCACTTTAGGGGTATGATCACTGCCATTCCGAGAGGGAGGTGTTTTATCTCCGCTTTACAGATGGGGAAACGAGCCCTGGGAGGTTCACTGGGGGAAGCTGGGGTTGGAACACAGACTGATCCAATTCCAGATCTGGTGAACTAAATCATAATAAGGTTAAGTGCTGGGTGAGGTGACTAACTGGGGGGTGAGCCATGGGCTTGCTGACTAATTGCTAGTTACCTTCAAAATTTGTGCCCTAGGAACCATCCCGAATAAACGGCCTCTATGGTAAAGCGTGGGTCCGGTTCAGACCTTGATAGCTTTGCCTTCCCATCTCTTACAGGGGTAACAGCCAGCTGTTGGCAATGCCCAGTTGCTGTTAGAATCTGGACATGTCTTTCAGCTTCTCAGCAGTCTTGACCCTCTGAAAAACAGTGCCTCATTGTCCTTAGGGGGAGTGCTAGGGGGGCAGGGGAGTTGCCTGGGGCATTCCGGGCTTCGGAGCCTCCCTGTTTCCATGGAAAGTCTGCACTTTGGGCTTGCCTGTCTGTGGTGCCTCTGTGTGTTAGGCCAGGGTCAGGGCACCCAGCTGCTGGGCCCGCGGCAGAGGCAGCCTGGGGAGCGATGGTGCGTTCCGCGTCCACGCCGGATGTTCTGGGCTGTATGCTAGTGAGGTGTGGAGCTGGGCTCCGAACCCGGTGCATTTGGTTCTCAGGCAGGTGCGCTTTCCGTTGTGCTAAGCTGTCTGCTGCTCCGTGTGGAGAGGTTCGGGTTGCTGGGGCCATAGCCCTGCCACTGTGGGTTGGAGGTCTTCCAAGGGAGCCTCGCAGTATTCCCTCCAGCTTCCCCAGTGATGGCCATGCATTGAGAGGCTGGGTGGGTCTTTGGCTGGAGGGCCTCTCAGAAGGCCGGAGTTACCGCAGGAGCTCTAAGCAGCGCCTGTCCCCCATATAACTCACCATGCGTGGAGTGTGCTGACCCTCCAGAGCTTCCTTGGGCCTTTACCTTGTTCCAAGGCCAGAGAGTGGAAAAACTCCTCCCGCCTCCACCTCATTGCAGCCCTTCCCTGGGTTGTCCTGGTCTCAGTGCCTTCATTAATAATAACAAACAGCTGTAGAACTCTTTCCCATAGTTTTTGAGCACTTAAACTGTGTACCGGCACTGTGGTGGGCACCTTACGCGCATTGTTTCCCTGACTCTTGTCGGCCATAGGAGGCACAGGTTCTATTATTATTACTACTGTCCATTTTACAGACGACGAAACTGAGGCACAGAGAGGGTTAGCCCCCTTACCCAAATTCTGTTAACTAGTGAGTGGCAGGGCTGGGGTTTAAATGCAGAGTCGGGCTTGTAACCATTTTTACACCTCTGTTCATAATGCTGGATCGGATCTCGCTTGCCTATTGGTTTGGTTGTTTTCCATTTCTAGGATGCTAAAAATCTTTTCTGCCCCCTCCCCACAGGCTCCATTCTTCCCCTCCCCACAGTCTCCCCCATCCATCCCCTTCCCGTTCTCTGGGCTTCTTCCCTCTCCTTCCATCTTTCTCGGGATGGGCTGCTGGACACTTGTGGCAGAGGGTCTCCTGCTCAAGGCCCTCCCATCCCCCATTCTCCCCCCCCTTCAGTCACCTGTTCCCCTCGGGGCAGAGGGTAGCCCTCTGAAGTCCCTCTTCTACGCCTGGTTGGAATCGGAATCAAGCCCTCCATGCCCTTGGCCCATACAGATGTGTTCCTGTCTTCATTCAGGTGTTTGTATGTTGCCACCAGCTGGAGCCGGCCCATTTCCAGAGGAGGAAGTCTTTTTTTTTTTTTTTTAAAGATTTTATTTATTTATTTGAGAGAGAGAATGAGATAGAGAGAGCATGAGAGGGGAGAGGGTCAGAGGGAGAAGCAGACTCTCCGCTGAGCAGGGAGCCCCATGCGGGACTCGATCCAGGGACTCCAGGATCATGACCTGAGCCGAAGGCAGTCGCTTAACCAACTGAGCCACCCAGGCGCCCGAGGAGGAAGTCTTTTAAGGTGGAGAATTGAGAA